AAAGTTGTATCCAAGATGGCCGACTTCTAAATGGCCACCATGGTCACCACCCATCTTGAGGAGTTTACCCCCTCACATATATTAATGTGCCACAAACAGGACAAATATCACCAACCATTCCCATTTTATTACGGCGTATCCATATAAATGGCCCACCCTGTATTATTGTGGGGTCTTTATGTTACAATGTAAAGCGCCCTAAGGTGCCTGTCAACTACCCTCCGTTGTATACTTTTGAGGCCCATCATCTGAGCCTTTTTCTACCCATTTAACATGAACGTGAAGACACAGACTTATAGAAACCACTTGTACACATCTTCAATTCCCCTGAAACATCAATGACCCTCAGGGGTTCATCCCATCTCACTCCAAGCACCATCAGTCATTTAGATTATTGCCTTTGCTGAGGAAACAGCAGCTGATGTGTATCTGGAGGAGGCTGATTGTCACCGTCATCACAGGCATCAGCGTGCGATGTTCCTCTGATGGTGTGAATCCGTCAGGACCAGAAGATTCAATCCAGCTGTCCAACATATCTACCCACAGTATCTCCACCTCTAACACACACTCAGAGCATTTTAACACATCCACCCACCCTGAATAAGACAGGACGGTCTTGCCTCCTGTCTCTTGCTTATTCCATCCATCTTGTTCTCCCACATGTGATCACAGAGCGCCAGTTGACTATAAAATCGGGCAGTATCCACGGGGCTGTGTGTGACACAGACAGCTGCAAGGAGATCACAGATGTCCACATTTGCACATTTTGCTTGTGTATAATGTCGAGGAAATTCACTTCACTTCCTTTTTGGCAAATTTTTGTCTGCATTTTCTACACTCATTTTCACAGGTCACATATACAGACAAGGTTTGCTTTTCTTTCTTGTTGGGGTCAAAACAATTTGATGACTGTATTTTGCTTGGGTTAGTAAATGTGCTCGCGTTACCTCCTCACATCAAAAAGGACAGTTGAAGGACACAGGTCTTTTTGTCTCACTGCCTTTCTTCCACTCTCAGCTTCAACAGTAATGTCTCAGTAACACTAGAGTAAAGGTAGGTTGGCAACATCTTTGCAATGAAAGGGAAAAAAATCGGTGGTTGTTCAGTGATTGCACTTTTGTTGTAGGAGACTGGTTGCAAGAAGATTGCCAGGTGGGAGGCAAGTTGTCTCCAAACAATCACAGTCCAAGTTGGACTGACTGCACTCTCAGATAAGCTGCCAAACCTTTGCTTTCTAATTTATTAATGCAGACAGATTACCAACATGTTGCAATTAATTATTTGGGATAGGGACTCAAGTGATTGCCAGATGGTTGTATTCTGGTTAAGTTGCTGTCCGGCAGCAGCTATGTCACCCTTTGTTTTGGGTGTATTCCATAGTGTGTCTTTTGTCCCGAGTCCCTCCCCTAACCTCCAACAGATAGCTGTTCCTCCCTGAGCACAGTTCTGCTGACGGTGTCTTCCTGTTAAAAGGGAGGTTTTCCGTCCCACTGACGCCAAGTGTTTGCTCATTAGGGTCTGATCTGATTGTTGGGGTTTCTCCTTTAACTTACAGTATAAAGCACATTGAGGTGACTGTTGTTGGGATTTGGCACTATTTAAGTAATTTAGAATTGAACTATTTGTTGAGTTATTTCTGTTTTAAATCTACAAGGTTCTAGTTTAAATCTGAGTGCACAAAGGTAATGGAAGTTTTCAGTTCCATCAGTCACCATGTTATTAAAAACAACAAGGAATTGCCATCTTTACCCAGTTCAATCATAAATTACAGACTGATAGCGGTTTGTCTTTTTGCCATTTTATCACCGTCTTGACTCACCAAAGTATGAAAAACATAAACGGGCAACATTAGTTAGGAAACTATCAACAGCACTCCTGAACTTGAAGAATGGAGTCTCTTAACTTACACAAGGTGAGGCAGCCTTTGAACAACAGACCTGCAAACTCGTATACAGCTGCAGTTTTGTCACCAATCAAAGCACAGGAAATGGTCAATGTGTGGAAGGCTTTATTTAATTAGGTAAAGTTAAAGTAATATAAAAGCACACTTGGCAATTTCTTCAACAACCACGCTCAAGCATCTATCTTAATAAAATTACCTGAGCTTTGTGAACTACACTATGTAGTGTGTATAGTCGTGATTATATATACTGATTTATGATGTAGTTCAGATCCTGTTCATCTTTGAATTTGCTATAAAACCTGTTGAAGTGGCCCAATGTTTAGGTTTAATGTCGTTGCTTCCTCTGGTGCATCTTACAACCCGTGTGTTGCGAACATGTTACCGAAGTGCAGCTGTTCTGGGTAAAAATGGACATCTCTCTTTCATAGTTTATTTCTTTCATTAAACAGCAACGTGATCCAAACGCCGCCTTCTGTCAGATAGTTGCCGTCCAGTTCTTCCACCCTGGTGCCGACACTTCTGCTGCTTCCTGGCTTCTCTCCATCTCTGGGCTAACACGCTGCTGCTTGACTCACAGGCGTCTTTACACCTTGAAGCTGGCATGACTGAGTCATTGCAGTTTGCCAGCTGTACTAAAGTACTGCGTATCAGTGACATTTATTTATGCTAGTTTAACCAAGTTTGGTTTGGTTTTGTTTTTAAAATTGCTTTTTACATTCGTATATAATTTTTAATTGCTATTTTTCCCTGATTTATTATTTATATAATCTGTGATAATATATATAAAAAAAGAGAAAATAAATTAAAAGGGCAACTTTGTTTTGTTTTTGAGCTGACAAACTGACAAAAAAAGAAAACTTAATTTTAGTTGACCCCTTCTAACTGTGGGTTATTTTTTTGGCAATTATTCCACCTGACGTTCGAGTTGAGGAAGTGTTGGAATCGTTTTCTCAACACAGGCAGCTGTAGCTGATTGCTGTTTGCTAGGTCTGACCTCGTGTAATGTGAATGATTTAAGTAGCTGTTGGCCTTTTTCTGACCATCTTCATGTCATTATTTAAAACAAAAGTTTGGGTTTTAGTGAAAATTGTATGCTCATGTTATTGGCCTGCTGCATCCAGAAGTTAGGATGTATAAATCTGTAGCATTGTACAGTTTATGGTAGCAGGTTGCTAACCAAGCTTGCTAGCTTCAGTTAACTGTTGTTCTACCTCTCATCCAAATCTGATGTCATCTGACTCCAAAAGTCACCAAAGTTGATGCTTTGCAGACTCCAAACCCAGCAGGTGACGGCATCACAGAGACTTCCACTCTTCGTATAGTCTGTTGTTGTAACCACACTGCACCCAACCAGTTGAAGTGAAAACCTGATCCTGAAGTGAAAAACTTCTATGAAACGCTAGAAGAACAATTTTGACTGAAAACATTTATGGTAATTATAATCTGATATTGTGACATCACCAGATTGGGAATAAACTAGTTTGTTGGAGGGGGGGGGGGAAGCTCCCCGTACTAGCGGGATGTGATGTCTGTGCCCACCCCTCCCTCCCAGAAGCTACACCTATGCAGATGACCGATACACAGCTCTTTTATATTCAAGTCAACCTTTATTGATCAATGCACAGTAGTATTTACTTCCAAACCTCACACTTTTGACAGTTCCATCGATCCAAACAAAGGAAGCGGCTTCCACACCATCACTCATCTTTCATTAGATTACAGGAGACGCAGAAATCATTATTTTAGACATAATGGCACATAAAGACTGAAAAATGGTCTGTTTTGGCTATGGCCCGTTGACATTTCATCTCAAATGATGGTTTCTATCCTAATATCTAATGTTCTATCCTCAGAGCTGCTGGCTTTTTCAATAAACGAAATGGAGCCTCTGACTTGGCTAATGCTGCCTCTGACCAGCGGATCGGGACAGAAATTTGTTTTTAATACAGGAAAGTACAGTTTTGACCTCTAAATGTAACTCAGCACCACAGGCAGCTGTAATATCATCAGTGATAATGGCAGAAAATGGCAGAGAGGGGAATCAAATCAACACAAGCATGATGGAGAGATGGATGGATGGCAGGGATGTTAGTAATGTCTGCCTTCACCCTCTGTCCCTTTCTCACATGCGACTCCATCTCGTCGAATTCTAATTCTTGGATGCTGAACTGCAAAGAACAGGCCAGCGCTGCTTATGAAAGCCTTTCACATACGCGGCGAGGGTACATGCAAGCACATGCAAATAGGAAACATTTGCATGTTCTTAGCATTAGCATTCATTATCCGCGGCGTCGCATGGGGCTCGTGCGAGAGGTGGCAAGAATGTGTTTCGCGAACTCGTCCTCAGCGAGACACCGATCATTTCTAACTCTTGAGCCTGGATTCTAATTCAGTGCCGGGATACAAAACTGCTGGCTGGTGAAACGGATACAGCTCGCCTTGGTGGAAAGTAAAAGTTTCCTTTTATGTTAAACTCAACAGTTAAAGGAAATTAAAATGATTTCACAGCCTGCTATAACAGGAGCGCTCATTTTATGGTAAATTAGGCTGTGACAATTACATTGCTCGGACCACGGGGTGGTCTACGGAAGCCACGCGCAAAAGTGTGCACAATCAGCGCGGGCTTCGAGTGGGTGTCTTCCAGACTTGAAAATAATTAACACGAGAATAATGTGCTCTAATTCGATAGTGACGAGAAATATATAAATAGGAGGAAAGCGTCCACGTGAAATGGGAGTCTCTCAGTCTGCTCGCTGACCAGCTGCAGTCTCAACCGGCTCCTTTCTCTTTTTCCTCATCTCCCCCCAACCTCTAAATCAACTGGCTCCTTTGGATGACATGGCAGCCGGCCACCTCTCACCACCCATTTGCTCCTCTTCCCTTCCCCCACCCACCCCCATCACCTCCCACAACCCCTGCCAGGAACAGAACTGGGCCTTGAGGCCACTCCTTTTAGGCTCCGTCTGACCACGACACAATGCTGAGCTGCTCCCGTGCACGGCTTCAACTGCAGAGGAGACAAGAAAAAAAAAGAAAAGATGTTGGCATGAGAGGACATGTAAATACACAATGCTGATTCTTCATGTCCCTAAGTCGTCCCTCGTTTCCTGCTCTGCGGCAATTTAGAATGAAAAAAGGGGGAAAAAAATACGAGGCCACTTTTCTAATTCAATTTTTAAGCATTGGCTGCAATAATTAAAAGGTCATTTTCCTGCCAAGCAGCACAGCTCTTCTGCTGTAACTAAGCAACATTTTAAGTGAAACATAATTATTGGCAAGACTGCCGATTTTGGATTAGCGCATTACCATTTCAATCAACAGCTAATGTGTTTGCAGCGCTCCGATTCAGAGTATTTTCCAGCAATTTGAAAGAAACACGGAGCGGAATCCAACAATTCTGAGACGCCTGGACTTGAAGCCGCTGGAACGAGAGGATTTTGATATATATATAATTTTTTTTAAAGAAAGGATTTTCTTCCTAAAAATAGTCATGTTGAGCACATTCTTCTAACAAGTGGGTGACCTTTCTGTCAAAACACCTCCTTTAAAATGGCCTTAAATGCTTTGTTATCCACTTTCTCTGCCAGCTTCTCAAAGTCTGAACACCGAGCAATACTTTTCCAGCCATCATTCAACTTTTCCTGCCTTCAAGGTGCAGACAGGACATCATAAGAAAAACACCCCCCGCCAAACCCCTCTCCCCCTCTCGTTCCATTTCAGGAATGGCCAGAGTCCTCATGCTGCTCTTTTCCTTCAGTCAGAGTGTGTGAGGCTACAGATCCTCATTAGTCACTTTTCCTGAGACCACCCCGACACGGGCATCAAGCTCTCCTCACTCGCTCAGACTTGCTGAAGGCTAGCCGCGGCCACACACCAATTCACAGGCATTGTGAGAAGCAGAGGCGACTTACGGGAGCCCGGGCAATCATCAAAATCAACCAACCTTTGAAATGCTGTGAATATCATGAACGTGCTGCTGCTGCATAATGTTACACCGGCTGAACGGAGCCAGAGGCAATTGCAGCAGTGCAGGGGGGTGGGGAGTTAAATGGCCGTACCAGTGCCTTTGAATGTTTAAGAACATTACCTACAAACTGTGTAGACACTCTCAGGCTAGTCTTACACTTACACTGATATAAAATATTATAAGAAGAGTCCTTTCAGAATAACATTTATATCCGTCATCAATAACTATTAATGACAACTGACACAAGTGATACACATGACTACTGATTTATTCTTACTAAGGGTAAAATATGTTACCAATTAGCAAACTTAGTTATTTTGTAACAAAGGTTTCATTAGTTGTCAAATCGCATGAATCTGAGAGATACGCACAGAAGTGATACTGCTAATGAGCCTATTTTAACTCAAACTATGACTTTTCCTAAAGTGGGATTCATAAGATGGACCCGCCCCTCCCTGAGCCTGGTTCTGCCAGAGGTTTCTTCCTGTTAAAAGGAAGCTTTTCCTTCCCACTGTCTCCAAAGTGCTTGCTCATATGATTGTTGGGTTGCTCTCTGTATGTATTTATTGCAGGGTCTTATAGTATAAAGCAACTGTTGTTGTGATTTGGTGCTGTACAAATAAAATCGAATTGTAAATTGAATACTTTGCATTAAATCTTTGCCATCAGTACTTCATGAAATCCTTCAGAAAACCAACCCTTTACTTGTGCACCTTATTAGAAATGTGTGTATACATAGAGTTGATGTAACCTGCAAAGATTTAAATGGGAACCACCACAAGACAAACTTAGAGGCTTTTTAAACCTATGAGGATGAATTCCAACTCTGTAACAGTCATTTAAACATGTCAAAAATGCACAAGTGTTTAATCAGCAGTTTACCTTTTATGGGTATCAGTTACCATTTCACAGTTACTCCTCCAAATAACGATGTAGGCTTCGTTAACAATGAATAACAAATCAATAAATATCTAGCTTCAGTCTTTGTCAACAGCAAAATAACCTTTAACTAAGGTGTATCTAGCCATTGATTTTTGTTAACTACCTATAAAAATCTGATATTCAAACACAGCTTTTTTTCCTCTCCACCTGTCAGACATTTGAAACCAGCAGACTTGTGTGCAGTCATTTGTTTTAATCTGGCTCTGCTCAGATCAGCCGTTTGCTGGCTTTTTAAATTTTGTTGTTCCAAACACCATAAATATTAGTAAATGTCTGCATTTAGCCAATAATATCAGTCAGTCTCCAAATACAGCATCTGCAAAGACGCACATTCCTGCTGTGATGTAAGAGCATCAACGGCTGTCTGAGATATACAAGAGAGAAAAAACAGGGCTCTAGATGATGTGCGCAGCAGCGCAGCTCTTAAATGGGTGAGGCATAGCAGCGAACCAACCTGACGTTTGTATGGTCTCTGTCCAGCCGACCGTCAGTCTCTGGGCACTCAGTGACCGATAGCCGTGCCTGAAGGAAGGACAAACCCCAAATCAATACCTTGTCTAAAAACACTGGGAGAAACTCGAGACAGATCATGCAACATCTACAGGAGAAGATATGCTCATGCAACTCAAGCTTTCTTTTTCAGATAACTCTGTACAGGCACAACCTTTTGAAATATTACAATAAGCAACTTTTACACAGCAAATAAAAAAGTAACAGCAGCTCAACTGTACAGAAGATGATGACAGATTTGGCTTTGTTCTTTTTAGCAAGAGTTGCATTAACACTATCCTATTATATTTTGTTAGTACACAGCACAGTTATTTTGGTACATGAAATCCACTACTGTATGATATTGGAAGTTACGTTTTTCTTACTTTTGAGTCGATTCTTTTTTGATGCCATGACTGTAATGATATTTTAAGAAATTGTACGCATTTACCAGAAAGTTTATGTCAAAGGATAAACACACTAAGAAATTAAACATTTAGGGTTAGGTTACCTTTACAGTGGAGTTCTCTAGGTTATAACCATCCTCTCCATTGCACTGCCATTACACTCTGTACTAAAGTAGCCATCGCGCCAGCTGTCATTCATGACAATGAAGCCTAGACCTGAATGGTGGTTTGAACTCAGTTAATTTTCAGATGCTATAAAAGCAATTCTCATTAAGGATTACGACCACAGGTAGGAGGATTGAAAAAGTCTTATACGTACCCAGGCATTCAATGCTTTAGAACTCTATACACATTAGGAAGCTATCCAGGTTATTTTAGAGGTCTTACCTCTGGGTCCTTTTTAAAAAGTATAGAAAGAGAGAGAAAGAATAAGTTGTGCTCTTTTGATAATCAATCAAGACATCATTTAGTAGGGTTAAAGTCTTCAGACGTCAATACATTCATTTAGATTTAAAAAGCGCTTTTGAATGAGAAACAAAGGAAAACACCTACATCTGACTGCTGGTTTAAAAAAGGCCATTTCAGAATTTTACTAGGACAGGAAACAAATAAAGCAAGTTAAGTTTCATAAAAAACAAACTAAGCTTTATTGACAAACTGCTGCAAAACATCTTTTGGACAGATTTAGTAACCTATTTAGGCAAGCTTACACATGTAGCATAATGCATTTTATGGAGAGGGTACAGATACTAGTGGCAGAATAAGTACAGTTAGGATGTTTTAAAATATGTACAAGAGTTCGGATTGAGCTGCAGGATCCCTTCTCTATAGAAAGAGAAGACCCATGTGGAGATTTTTGTCCCAATCCTTCTTTGTGTACTTTGTGCATGCAGTTTATGTAGAGTCAGATCACAAAATCAAGACCTGAACCGTGTGTTTCTTTTTTCTTTTAGCACAACAGGTGAGACCAGGTCTCGTCCGTGTTCTCATTAAACAAACATTTTGTCTTCAGTCTTAAAATTATTAATTTTTTTCTTTTTAAACATGACAAACAAATTGAGGATATGAGGACAGTCCATCTCAACAGTGTCTATTAGGGCTATATTTCAAAACTCTAAGTACAATGACAAATATTGCTGCCTAAGTCTAAATGGACAACGTTTTAGAACTATTTAAACAACAAACCATAATCAAGAATGAATTGTACTTGAGTTAGCCTTTGCTTCATTTAAGGATTTGGGTTTTTGTTTGTTTCTATATTACATAACTGAACGTTTAAAAGGTCTTTTATTTGGCTATATTAACAGAATTTTGAAATGTAGCCTAAATGGGAATCTGCAACTGACCCTCAACAGATTCTTTATATATATGTATATAAAAACAATTAAAATGGATTCCTTAGACAAGTGGATAATGAGCCACTAATTCAACTAGAAACGACTACTCCCACACAGTTAAAAAAATAAAATAAAAATAATTAAAAATTAACGATCAACAATGCAAAAAAGCCAGAGGAGGGTAAAAAGGGTCAGAGGAAAAAATGACAGCAAAACTTAAAAAAACTCAAAGAAAAAGAAAAACTATATAGAACGCCAACTTCTCATCTCTGACCCATCTAAAAGCCGCTTTGGTTGGTTGGTTGGTTGGATGGTTGGTTGGTGTGACAAAGAAGGGGTGGGGGAGGGAGTTCGCGGTCAAATCTCAAAAACCAGTTCCGATTTTCAGTTCCCAATTTGCTCTCTTGTATAAAGTCCGGCGTAGGAAAAGACCAAACCAAAGACAAAACAGACAATTACTTTTGTCGGGCTTCTTAAAGCGAGAGCTGCCGTGGTAGACAGGCGCTTGTCAGGGCGACACTAAGGGTGGCGAGTCCGCTTCAATACTGTCGATATGGGTGCTCCCGGTAAGTCGTCTTGCCGCCTCGAGAGGGGGGAGGGGCCTTCCCTGGAGTTGTCCGCTGGGTGCCGTTCCAGTCATCCTGGCCTGGAGAGGAAGCGGGAAAAAAATAGACACATCAATAATTCAACATTTCTAACAAAGAGCCTTTGGAATGAGCGCACATTAGAGCTGCCCTGTGGCACCGTTCAGTTTATCGGACATGTTGGAAAAGCACTAAATCCTACATCTGACCGTGCACGGCACCTACAACACGTCACAACACATCAACAAGAAGTCAAAAACTCTACAGTGTGACTTTAGCGTTAAAGAATATTTAACTGTGAAATACAGCCGTCAGTTTGGATCGGGGTGAAGAACTGTCCCATCACGTTGTGGATGATCAATTTTGTGAAATTTTGTCCAATTTCAGATCTTTAAAATAACAATCTGGCAATGCCAATATTTTCCTTATACGGTAGCTTTGTCTTTTTCAGCCTTTATTACAACATGTTTAACATTTAGGCAGCAGAAAATAATGTGACACAATGGCACTGGTGCTGACAGATCTCAGTGTCAGTGCCATTCTATTAGCTGACAGTGATATCAATCAATAAAGTCAATATTAGCTGACAAAATGCACATTTTGGAAAATTTAATCTGGCTGATGATTTATTTTTATTTTTTTTACTGTTTTTAAAGACAATCAGAGACATTATGGGCTGACGTGCATGCATATTTCAGACGCCAACACGCAATAACAAATATACAGAGGATCAATTCAATAAGGATGTTTGTCTTTTATTGTAATAAAAAAAATTGTTCTTTACCATAGGACTCGTACGACTCTGTGGTCTCCCCATGTCCATAGTCATAATATTCTGGCTCTCTGTTGGTCATAAACAGGGAAAAAAGAATAAAAAGAAAAATCACTTTTAATCTTTGAAAAACATCAAGCAGCTGACTGTAATGTCTAGGGGGACGCTAATTGGCTTCTACGAATAAGATCAAAGCTTGGCTCTCTACTATGGAACGTCTGAGTCCCGGCTGGTCCTTCTAAATAACACTGGCATCCACAGCATGAAACACAGAGTACTATCAACGCTAAATTTGTGCAGAGTGGCTAAAAAGTATTACTGCTGCTCTCAAATCCCATTTCAAGTGAAACTAGCAACTAGGCGATGTGTGTGCATTCTGTGAGAAGCAGGTGAAAACCAAAGAGACGTCTGATTCACTCACGCCTGCGGCTGACTGTAATAGCTGTCGTAAGACTCGTAGGCCGTGTCTGTGTAGCTCTCATCGTAGCCCTGGAGAGGGAAGGAAACAGAGAGGGAAAGAGAGAGAAGGGGGGGGGGAAAGAAGAAAAAACAGGGTGAGATTTAAGGAGAGTCTTGTTCATGAATGTCAAGATGTCCCCAAAGAACTCCACTTGTACTAAAGCAGACACGCTCCCCTTATGTCTCGAGCATCTGAAATCACTTATTCCTATGACGACGGACAAGCAATTCAAAGTTAACAGAACGTCAAGAAAGATCTTATTGAGATGAGACGAGCAGTGGAGAGGTCAGATTTAGCAACGTCAAACCTGAAAGCATAACGTCTGCACAGACAACTGAGGCGTCTCTGCACATTTCTTATATTTAGCTCATCAAATACAACACTAGAAGTGACGTTCGTGTGTGATAATAACAAACCTACAAAATAAATGTGAAAGGATAAATTCATTTCCACTGGCAGTGGTACTTACATATTCGTCATAGCCTTCAGCAGCTGCACCGGGATTGTGCTGGTGTGGAGGCGGTGGTGCCATCCTCTGGGGAGGTCCTCCAGCTATGAGTCTGGCACGGGGTGCCACAGCTCCCCTGGCGGGTGCTGCGGGAGGTCCTCCTCTGCCTGCTGGGGCACCCCTCACTGCGCCACCTCTGGCTGGGCCACCTCGAGTCACACCTCCCCTGGCGGCAGCACCACGAGGCGGCATTCCCCTGCCCCTGGAACCCAAGAACTCTGGGTTATTGCCGTGATGATCTACAGCAGGGCTCAAACTCAAATGAGCTGAGGGCCACTGCTGGCACCGTCATCTCATTGGAGGGCCACTTTAGTGTTCGAGTAGAACAAAAAAAAAAGAACTACATCTTTGGAAATATTTGTGGTGTTATTTTTATTTTAAATATTGTATAATAAGACAAAACTGCGAAAGTGAGAACTCTTATCTGAAGCCTTTCAGTGAACTAACACATAATAAATTGGTACTTCCTATCTGACCAGACACATGGCTGCACTTCTGCTATAGTTTTTTTTTTAAACAAAATAAAAGTATATGCGTTAGTTTTTGTAGTGCAAATAGTTTTCTTTACAAGTAACTGCCAATCCCTCAACATATTTGTGCTTCCTGCTCACATTGCCTTCATATTTAAAAATAAATAAATATTTAAAAAATAAAATAAAATAAAATAAAATAAAAGACCAGACAGGTAGGTTTGCATAAAGGCAGCAGCAGGGGCAAAAGGCAACCCAATTCTAGAGCCCAACAGGTACAGAATTTTTAAGGATGACAGAGAAACTTGGCAAAAATGTTAAAATCTGATACCAGCAAAGAAAATGAGTTTGTTTAAAATTTTTATTTATTTGTGATCTTTAAACTCCTGGCAGGGTGAGAATAGCTGATTATATGTTTCTTTTTTAAATACTAAGCTCAGCTAACTGGTAGGTGGTTGTAGCTTAATATTAACCATTAAGATGTGGTATCAAACTTAGGCTTTTGACGGCATACAGAGCCGGGCAGCCTGCTGGGCCTGAGATGACCCCAAGCATTCCAAATCATTGAGAATTAAACAACAACAATAAAAATGTATGTATGTACATACATACATACATACATACATACATACATACATATTCAGTGATGCAGCAGCTGTTATGAGAAATTGTGTGTGTTTGTGTGCACTTCCTCACCTGTGTGCTCCTGCAGGGGGGACACCGCGGCCCCTGACTGGCAGGCCACCTCGGCCTCGAGCTCCGTGATCCTGGCCTCCGTTCAGGTAGCTCATCTCCATGAACTGCTCCTGGCAGATATCATCCATCATATCCTATACACACAAACACACACAGTGAGGACGATAATACTAAGACAAAAAAAAAAAAGAGAAAAGAAATGGAAAAATGACTGTGCAAACACAAAAAAATAGAAAGGAAAGGAGACAGCGTGGAAAGAGGAGTGATGAATAAAAGAGTGAAATCATTTCCGAGCTGCTCAAAACACGCCACCCCTCCCAACGGCTAACAGAGCGACTGGAAGAAAAAGTCTCAGTGCCAGTGACTCAGAGTGTTAAAGAGAGGAGGGGGGGATGTGGATGTGGGAGGCTAGAGGTTGGAAAGGATCCATCCACACTCCGTGCCTTCCTGTGTCTCTCCATCATGCACAAAATGTAAATCACTTCTCTGCACACTCCTTGACAAGTCTGGTGTGACTGCATGAGCAGTTACCTTATTTTATCTGCAAAAACAATAACTTGGGGTGGATTAGCCAAGCTGCCTGTCTCGGCAGCACAAATCCTGCAGCCCAATCCTCCGCTTTTCTTCTGGGAGCAATCACAAGAGCTGCACTGTGACCCAATCAATTCTTTTTCATATCACTCCCCAGACTGGAATAGTGACAGAGCTCTAATGATGTCAAAAAAAAAAAAAAAAAAAAAAACTACTGGAATATGAGATGCAGACATCAGCTTTCAACTTATCTGCAGCAAAAGCAGGCAGAGCATTTGACTGATTAGAAATTCATCTGAAGGGAGGAGCAATCCAGCTGATGCTGCAGAGGATGCAAAGTCTTTACCCAACAAGGTGTTGAGTTTAATCAAGGATCTGTAGACGTTACGATCAATAGAAGAGAGAAATCCTTCTGCATTCACGTTGGCTGATGTGCAGATATACACAAATAAACAGGATGAGGAAGAACAAAGAAGACAAACCCTGCTGAAATCACAGGGCTGTGAGAGACTCACTGCCTTAGTCAAATAAACTAATTTTTTCTAATAAAACAACTCTCAAGTCTAAGATGGCCGATATTCAGCCCTCAGGCCACTAGCCTGGGCTGCAGCAGCAACCTCCTCTCTCGCTCTGACAGGAAGTTACAAACATACAAGGTGAGAAGTAAGACAGCTGACAGCCTTGTGGACCAGTATGACACCAAAACTGCTGTGATCTAAAACACAAACAGTTGCATGTCAGAGTAAACTGGCACACAGCCACTCCAATGCAGCAATGTGTTAACTGTGTTCTTTACATGCATGCGGCTTCGAACCTGCACGGACAGTGAAGCTGCTGTTTGACACATCTACATACGACTACACCTGCACCTGTGCCAATTTAAAATAATTATAGGAGAATGACATTTCAAATAAGGCTGGGCTATAATATACCGTTCACGGTAATACCGGTATAATGTTGGGCAACGATAAGAAAATGAAATATCGCAATAGAATATGGGTAAAACATGCATGTGCAGTGCCTTTGTTTTCATACGCACATGGCGGAGAATGAGAAGGGCTAGAGCAGTTCGTTCAATGAAACAGATGAACGAGAATTGGTTTGTAAAAATGCTGCAACTTCAGTGGTGTGGAACTGGTTTAGCTTTCGTCCGTCAGATACACAACAAAGCACTATTTTTGGTAGAGCATGCTAGCGGGCCGTCGTTATTACCGTGTTTTGTGGAAAATATGGCACACTTAAAATCAATCCTTTGATTTTTCTGAGGCTACGTCCACACGTACACGGGTATTTTTGAAAACTGAGATTTTCCGTTTTCGTTTTAAAAAATAATCCCGTCCACACGTAAACGCAGAAATGAAGGAAAGCGCTGCTAGGAACATGCCAAAGCAGCAGGTGGCGATATATTCCTAACTGTGTAGAAATGTAGGCCAATCAGAAGTCTAGAAGCGGGAAATAGTAAACAAGGATGGGGCATAGAAGCAGAACCGAGTCGTATGTGTGGAGGGACAGTAACTGTGTGTGTATATGTAAGCATTTAGAGAGTACAATTAACAGTAACAGTATTGTAGAAATTCATTTCACCGAAACAATAACGTGGCGCACAGCGTGACGTCAAAAAAGGCGCACACCTTTGACGCTGCGTTTTCTCCGTTTTTCTCGTCCACATGTAAATGCAAAAAC